AATGAATTTTAAAATATGCATAACCGATTTTTATAAAAACAGAAAAATTTTATTTCTCAAGTTGAATTAAATGTTTTTTCGTATATTCTTTGTGTGATTGATATTAAAGACAGATTTTAAAAGAGCAATCAAATGTGTTGCTCGCCAATTGAGACCTAGTGTTTTTCAAGAATAAAACTCAGTTGATATGTAGTAGTGAAAGCTGAGTAATTATTCGTTCCATAAATATACTCAAAATGAAACCAGTAATTATATATATATAAATATATTAATCCGTCTATAAATCAATAAACGTACAGGTAAAAATATAGATTGTTTATTTAAATAGATTTGACGATTGTTCCTGAATTAACAACATTCTGTGACATAGTTAGAGAGCTTCCCGTTATGTGATCACTTAATAAAAATGAGAAGTAGCACTTTATGTTAGTTTAGTTTAATTTACCTCTAACAACAGTATTAATATAAGTGTACCGTTAATATTATATATTTACTATACGAGTATTCTTATGTACCATCGTATATGATTGCTAACTAATAAATAGATTCAAATGGACATAGATGAAAGAGAATATTCTTACTGTCAATGAGCAAGTAACCTAGTTTCTCTGCCTAATACCTTCAACAATCTAACACCTCAACACATACATTTATTTGTAGTATAAATCATGAATTAACTTTAGCTAGGAAATCAACCAAGGGCTACTAAATCGCTGTTACGTATTTGGATGAGTCACGTCAACAACCACCTAGAACCCAGGATTAGATTGGACCGTGGACCACAAGACATAATGGTGAGTGTATTAACTTCAAATCACTGAATCAGCATCCAGTGATTCACACTTGTAAGTTCAAACTATATAACCTCCACTAATCTTCTAATATATAAAAATGTAGAAAAAGCTTTCTTATTTAAAACACCACATAGATCATAAACTTGATTTGTAGTCAACAATATTAAAATATTATCACTGCGAAACATTCAGAAATAGTGTTTTATCAAAAACAAAAAATCAATATGCAAAACGCGGTTAATCCATCAAACACGGAAAATTAGTCAAATGAGTAGTAATGTTAATAACTTATATTGACGTAGACCATGGGACATATACGCGTCGCATCAATTTTCCACACTACATCAAAATGAGATTAAGTTATTAAGACAAATTATCGAGTGGTAATAGAATAATAGTATCAATGGTATCAGTGGTAGTATAACAGATTATGTGTTTAGACAATATTATTCGAGAATGAAGAATGAACTCAAAGGATAAAATAATTGTAGGATAACTTAAAACTGAAGATCTAAGAGAATACGTTGAGTGGGTGCACCTGCAGTTATGAAGAGGACCCTAAGTCATATCACCCTAAATACCTAGCCATTAATTGTGATAATCGTGTAGATACTAACCAGATGGTGTTATCGATCATTAAAAATGGATTAGACTTTAGCTTACTAGATTTTCTTACTAATCTGTGGTTTACAGTAGTTATCAGGCTTATTTATACGGTGAAGGGCGGCCTGCTTGAGCATTTGGGCTACCTGTTCCTGCCATCTAGATATTTCAACAAGTTATCTATTTTTGTTTGTTTTAATGTATCGTTATGTCTATTAATCGCATAACCTATTCTGCTGCGTTTCTGAAAAGTGTACAACCTTTCGTTATCAAAGTTACAAAAAACTCAATAAGAGACAATGTGGTCGCTGGCAATATACAGAGAAAAGAATGCACATTATTCAGATGTTCATTTACTGGACCGTTAACATCTAACTGGCGATCACTCAATATTTATCGCCAGGACCGACCAAGAAGAAAGAAATAGAAACTTGTTGAAATACTTTACGCTGAAAATTCTATATTGTACCAAAAATGTAATATTGAATAAAGCTAATAATAATAATAATAATAATAATAATAATAATTATTATTATTATTATTATTATTATTATTATTATTATTATTATTATTCTGTTAAGTTTATTTTCAGTGAACTAGAATTGGAAATATTCCCGGAGAGTATGTTGGAAATTATTTTGAATATGATTATTCTTTATCATATGAATGGTAGAATCTAAAAAGTACAAAAACTATATATTCTTAGCGTATGTATGAAGTTGAAGACGTCAGATGAAAAACTGTGCAAGACATAGGAAATATTTCATAGATGCATAGTCTTAGAATGATTAATGGTTAATGTATCTTCAAAACAGTGTAGGACTAGTCTCGAATCATGATTAAAGAACTTTCATTACACAGCTTTACTCCACAAAACGGGAAAAGTCAGTGTGATTAGTAACATGTGAGACAAATAATCTCTTTTATTCTGATTCTTTCCATCATCAATGTCGCTTGTTTCACATTATGTCTTAACTCAACGTTACACTTTAATACGTATATGATTGTAAGCAGCTAGTTAGAAACAACGAAATATGATGTATTAATATTATTATGCCTCAGTTACTGTTCTGGCTTTATCCCAATTCGTAAAGGCTACCAATCGCGTGAAAGTGAATTTTTAAAATAACGTTTACTAATGCTTGTCAGAAATCCGTTTTTAGCGCTTATTACTGGCCGATTGGCAGACTTCAGTAAATCTGTTGTTGTGGCTTGAGATCGCTGATTGATATCAGGCGTTAAGATCACCAATCAAAACTTCAATTCTTATTTTTTTTCTCTCCCTAGGCCTTACCAATTACACGTCTGACTTGCACCGTTAACCTTGGTTCGATGAAAATAGGTTCCTATTGGCTTATCCTCAAGCCTTTCTCGGTCCCTTGCCTTAAATCCAAAATGAAGTCAGTAGTCAGCTTATATCATTATACATAACTCAGTAATCACTCAAACCGAGTTAGATTCTAACCAAACATCATCATTATTAAGAAATTACATTCACGGCATAATTAAGCCATTGGTAAGAGTGAACTGAGTAATGGGTCCGTAATAAATTAACAGTAACCTAAGAAAGCTATAAAACACAACAGTTTATGCATCATCGATAAGCTCACAAGCAGATGTATACAAAAGTACAATAATTCAAGTATTTATTACTTTTTTTTAAAAAAAAACAAATATATCAATAATAAATTCGAGTAAAACAGTCCCGAAAATTCAACTTCGCAGTATTCATCCCATTATAACATTTTTTTTTTAAAAATTTCATACAAATAGCATAGAAAAAAGCTACTCATCTAATACTAGAGGTCATAATATTTAACTAAGTGCTAGAACTATAAAGTCTTAGGTTCGCCCCCGTGAACAGTATACTGGGTAATCAGTAAATTATAAGATAAAACAGAATAACTGTTCGAAAGATGTTATCACTTAGTAAAGTCCAACTTTACATCATACGAATCTTTTAATCCACTAATGTAAATAAAAAATTCTTCATCAATATTCATTAGTTACTAATTTTAGAAGTAACAGATAGAAAGTTTCTTCAAGTCAACTAATCACTATACGATGACATTAATGCGTATAATCTGTGAAGTATCATTCAAATGATCTCATTATGTTTATAGTTTGAATATATAATCATAGATAAATTTATACAACAGTTTTCTCATAACTGCTATATATAGAGCTAATATAATCTTGTTATGTGACAAGCTATGGATAAATAAATAAATATCAGAAGGGGCTTTCGTGGATATTATAGTAATTTTAATGGTTGAGATCACGAACCAATTCAAGCTAGACCTGGAAGCGCGTGACTGATAGGTTCTAGGCTCGAATCCCGCGAGGCGGGATCGTGGGTGCGCACAGCCACTGAGGAGTCCCATGACAGGACGAAACGGCCGTCCAGTGCTTTCAGGTTTTCTATGGTGGTCTAGCTTCAATTGACTCATGATATTAACCATTAAAATAAATAAATATTGGATGTTCAGGATTAATTAGCCTTTAATCAATACAAAAGCACACATAAGACTTATATAATCATACATATGTTCAGTCTTTCATTGAATTATCATTATAATTCCCAAATAAAAATATTTTAAGCCTTAAAATCATATGACTTAAGTTTGATTTACATAAGTGCAGGTAGATAAAATTATCATGATTATGAAGGCAGGTGGTTTCAAATAAAGATCAAATGATTACATATACATACATATATGATAACCTGAAATCTGTTACCTATTATATCAATTATTTATATCTTATTACAGTAAACTACAATGGAATGAAATTAGCAGGGATATTGTCAGAAGTCATTATCAACTACATGACAACTAATCAAGCTGGAGTAATTGAACGAGTACTGTAGAATCCTCATGGAACTGAATTAAAATCCTTACCTTCAACAAATAGATTACATTTCTTTCTGGTGTTAACCTAATATAAAATGTTTAAATATTCATCATTTTAAGACAGTTGCTGAGTTGACCAACTTTATTGGACTTACAAATAAACTGCTAGTGGTAGAATTAGTATGAGTTGTCCGTTATGGGCATCGTCATCATCATGATGTAATTTAAATTTGCAATTATTCATATTCCATTTTTTGTTTAATGGTATTTAAATTTATTTGATGTGATTGGGTTTGCCAGGTATTTGACCACTATTTTTTGGTTTTGCCTAGAACACAATATTTTAGCTAGATTTAATCTACAATACTCAAATCTATCAGATGATAACGCATTGTTGTTTGAAGCGGAAGGTATCGGGCTTTAGTTTCGTTGTGGACAACAACACAAATCCATGTAAATCAAAGTGAAAAGTTCAAAAAAGCACGAAATACATGACTCGGGATCCGCTATCAGCTACAGTCCATGAATTCTAAAGAGCAATAAATTCCGTTCAACCCAGACCTAAATCAACAGCCTTCACATACTCGTAATCAGAAAGTAACCAATGCTAGCAGTGGTCTTGGATTTCTTTCAGCTTCAATTATTTTCATATAATATCGAATAAGGTTGTTGTGAATGCGCAAACTGAATGCTAACATATTAATGAACATTTATGTGTCGTAATTAAAAACGGAATATAAACAATACTCACTTTGATTGACAAATAAAGTAGAGGATAAGATTATTGCTTAGTTTGTTACCTTCAAAAGCTAAATGAATGGTATTCCATAATTGTAACCTGTAAACACATCAGCACTTGCTTTCAACTTAAATATACTTCGCTCAGTTATTATATTTGCTGAAAACTTTATAATTGACCAATCATAATGAGAATTGAATCAGTATACACGTAGAATCTGTTAACTTGATTGGACAAATTCTATTAAGGACAAAAACACTTGTAAAAAGGCCATAATGAGTGGTGGGTGATAGTAAGCAAGCTTTAAGAAATTATTCTTACAATATCTATGCTTATGGATTATTTACGACAAAGTGAGATATATGGTAGGAGTATCACAGAGTTTTAATCGTTACAGTAAGGTTAACTAGTGACTTGAAAATAAACTATCTGCAGGTAATTATAATTTTCAAGTTTGTTATCATTACAGACTCCATCGGAGAAACATTGGAAACCAGAAAATACTGGACTAGTGTTTCTTTATAGATTAAGATTTCCCGGTGATGTACATATAATACTCCTTTTGGAATTGAACTGATAACCTTCTAAATTCGTAACATATACGATAAACTTAGACTACTAAGCTGCACATTTTCAATTTTAGTCAATTCGTGACATAAAATGAAAATAATCCTTAAGGTTCCATGATACTCACCTCATTCCTAATATGGTTAATAGTCACTTACTTCAAGTTGAATGATTCGTACAATATTACTTTGTTAGTGTCTTCATTTGCCACATATTTTACATTGTTATGACTTGTATGAAATGACCCAGGAGAGCAACAATTTACAAAAAAATTAGCAGTTGACGGTATCGAAGTAAAGGGTTATACATTTAAGGTGAACAGTGACCAAGAACGTGCCACAGTGACCTACTTGGCGAAACCGGTAATGAATTGATTAAGATTACTCATTTTTAACTATTCACATCATTTAATTGTGTAAACCCCTGTCTGGCAACATTTACAAAACTGTGTGAGAACTGAGTTCACGAATTCCGGAAGTTAGTATTATTAAGATATTTATGAAATCTGACAAGAAATAATCTGTATGTTGATTCATCTAAAAGGGAACAGATATTACTCGAACCAAGAGTCAGAAAGAAAATCTTTGAGAAAGATTAATAGGAAGAAGGCAAATAAATCCAACTGTCACTTGACACTAACTAATCAATAATTAACTGTATGAACACAATTTACGAATATCGCAAGATTAAATTGATATAACTAACATAAATATCTGCCCCCCAAACGCCCTGGTATGGCCGAAAGTGGGGAGAGTCAACTCTCAATCTCCGAATTCTCTCACATGGCCACGCTCATATAGCCACTGTCAGGGAAGTCCAACTCACTGTCTTCTCGTAGAAAGGGTGTAATTTACAAAATTGTGAGGACGAAAAGCGAATGTCCGGCGTTTTAACTGGGTTGACGAACACGGGAGTCCACCTAGGGGAGTCGGAAAATCCTGATTCCAAAACAATGGTAAACATAGGCTCCAGGATCCTAAGGAAGCGAATGGCGTAAGAACCGGTCGTTGGTCACTGGCTACCATGGGACTGCATTTTCTAACGTTGCTCCACTGCCTTGTGGATTTGACGTTTAGGTCATAGTCTCGGAGTGTGGCCCCTTAAGAAAACCATCTAGTTCGGTTTGGGCACCTGGGTAGTATCCTAGCCCTCACGCAAATCGAATGATTTATATGACGCATATGTATTTAATGCCACCTTGTCCCAATGTTTACGTGTTTAAATAAATAAAATAAATTATCTGCGAAACCTCTCCCTCTAAATTTGAGTAAATGTATTTTCTGACCAACCTGGAGACTCAGTTGTATAATAAATACAAAATCTGTTAACTGTAAAATTACTGTTTAGAGATACCATTTTATATTCTTTAATCTGCTTTTATTGATGTGTTGTCAGTTTATTGAGGACGATCATAGGTATTGGTTATAATATACAGTAATCGGAATTATTTTTTTAGTAGAGTTTATTTTTAAGCTATAAATGTGTTTCGGCAGGCAATAATAATTGTTGCCATTAAAAAACTTAAAGTCTGTTGACAGACTATATTGATAGTTACATCTAACATATTCATATTCCAATAAAGAATTAAAGTAGGTAATTAAGTTACGTGAAAGATGTTTATGTGGTCAACTTCTAGGGAGGAACGTAACGTTGTTTAAGCTGTGAAAATGCAAATTTCCTTTAATGAAATGAAACTTTTGTATTGACTATAGGTACACTACTGACAAGATTCAAATAGCGCGAAATCTAGTTCAATGGTTTCTTGTCGAGTACTTTCAGCTATCATATTACATCCACAGTTTGGTTTTACGTGAGGTTCACAACCTACAATTAGAAACGTTTCAAATCTCTCTAATACTTCTGACAGATATTCTTCCAACTTTAAAAACGTTGGTTGATTCTATATGGTCATCAATAATCCAGAATGTGATCAACAATTTTTCTAAATAGGTTCATACTTTCCAAGTAAGCAAACATTTCACCTATATCCGTTGTAATCAAAAATGCTACTGAAAACTATATAAGTTTATTTTCCTCGTTATAATTTTATTGGAGGTCACTTCAGTCTTAAGAAATCATATAGCTTTGAGGTAAACTACAGAGTGCCATATTTATAAAATATAAATTACATTATGACAAGCTTTGATGAGAAAATGATCAAAAGCTTTTGAATGTGGAAAGGCTTAGTTCATCGTAATCATTACTATATATCCTGCAATTAAAACTAGGGATTGTAATATAAAGAAATACACTGTCCATTTTAATTTTACAAAATATGAAATAACAATGTTACCTATAATTGATAACAAGTAAACAGGATATCTATCATACTGAAACTAATTTATATCTGTGTTGTTGAAGTATTTCATCGAAATCTAATTGTTTTCAATGGTCACTGATGGTAAGTGTAAGTAGGGGTTAATGCAATGACTTCATATTCATTTTCAAATGAGAGTAAACCCATACAGTACTAATAAGCGGGCTTTGAAGAGCGTAGGATCAGGCTACCTTTACGGTAATACTCTTAAACAGCACAAAAAAGTGTATATTCAAGTGTTGTTTTCTTAAAACTGTGCAAAGGTTACTTAATAAATTAATAATTTGACTCGTAACCAACGAGTTGCGGACTGGAACTCCGTCAACTTCATTTTGGACATCCGAATGGATGAATGAAAAGCACAATCGATAAATAAACTACAACTTGAAACTAAACCTAAAAGGGGTTCCATTTAGAAAAGAGGTGATTCATATAAGAAATCAACGAGATTAAAGCAATTCATGGAAATCAACTTTCAGAAAGATTATTAACTAAAATATGGTGAAATATGAGTAAGACATTTAACAGATACTTAATATGGAAATTAGGTTTACCAGGAAGAACCAAATACTCAACTCAATAATTTATTTCACTGTAAGCTAATGTAGTCAACTTGTTACGTCGTATACATGCATGTAGTTGTTGACCAACTTATATCAAATACCGTGCATTTTAGAGATACATTTGTGCACAATGCTGATATTCAACAACTTCAGTACAGTTAATGAAACCATTTTCATTTTCTTTTCTGCTAGAATAACTAGAGTAAAACTACCATTCTACTGATGTAAGCTTTTTAATATAACGAACACAGTACGATTAAAAATATATTTAAATTCATTGATTCTATTTCAGTTAAAATAATTAAAGTCTATGATTTGAGTATTTGTAAATGAACAAAATTCATACTAAAAATGTATTGAAAGTCAATGATCGGAGTTCACATTGAATAAATGAATAGAACAGAATTTCACCAAAATCAATAACGATTTATTTTTGACGATCATACATCTCTAACATTCATTTTTTTCTCATTGACAAGATTAAAAAATCAGACATGATTTAAGGTTATTTTGATACAGCTTTAAATCAGTGGTTGCATTTGTTGTGGATATATTTTGTGGTATTAAGGAATGCTCAAACGCAGTTATGTCCAATACATCAGGCCTAGCAATACTAGTATTTGTACAGTTATGAAGTGGTCAGTAGAGAGCTGTGCGAAGATGTAACAAATAGTCACAACAATATTCTTGCACGTCACAACAAATTAATGAAGGACCAGTCAGTTGGCTAGGTCATAACTCAACGTAGATAATAGGTGTCCGTTGGCTGACGTTGTCACACAATATCACCACAGTATGATGAAAGTATCAAAACAAATTTTCGAATGATAGTAGAATAATAGTAGTAATAGTATCAGTGGTATTAGAACAGATCATGTATATAGAAAATACCATTAGAGAAAGAATGAATTGAAGGGATAAAGTAATTTTACGATAATTCAGAACTGGATATCTAGAGGAAGATGCTGAATAGGTACATCTGCATCAATGAGAAATATCCTTAGCCATGTCACTCAACGTTTCCAGCTATCGGTTACGATAGTCGTGACGCCAATAAGGTGGATTTCATCTGACAACACGGTTCAGTATAACAGTTAATGAACTTTACGCATTGAGGTCACAGCTTGATTTGGTCGAGCTTACAGATTTCTTCCAGCCTACTACATAAACGAACACCACCTGTTAAAGTACGAAGCTTCGTGGGGAAAGTAATTCATGTCCGCACCCAAATGCCCTGGTACGGTCGAGAGTGGGGAGAATCAGCTCTCCCTCTTGAAATGCTCCCACATCGCCACGAGTATATAGCCTCTGACGGGGAAGTGCTACTTATTGCCTTCTCGTGGCGGGGGTGTTGTTTACGAAATTGAGAGGACGAAAAGCGAATGTCTGGCGCTTTAACTGGGTTGACGAACACGGGAGTCCACCCAGGGTTGTTGGAAAACCCTGATTTCAAAACAATGCTGAACATGGGATTCAGTGTCATGAAGGAACAAACGGCATATGACTTTATTTATTTATTTTAGCACATAGATATTGGTACAAGGAGACACCAAATACATATGCGCCACACAAATCTCATTTGACATGTGTGAGGGATGTGATACTGCCCAGATGCCCAGGCCGAGGCATATTGTTTTCTTAGAGGGCCACACTCCGAGCATTTGACACAAAAATCTAATCCACAAGGTAGTGGACCAACGTTAGAAGATGCAGTCCCATGGTAGTCGGTGACCAACAAGTGGTTCATATGCCATTTGTTCCTTCAAATTACTGGAGCCCATGTGCACCATTGGTTTGGAATCAGGATTTTCCGACTCCCCTAGGTAGACTCTCCATGTCCACCGACCCGGTTAAAGCACCGGATATTCGCTTTTCGTCCTCTCACTTTCGCAAACAATACCCCTGCCACGAGAAGGCAATGAGTACGACTTCCCTGGCAGAGGCTATATATGCGTGGCGATGTGGGAGCATTTCGAGAGGGGGAGCGGACTCTCCCTCATTTTGAGGCAATGGCATATGAATCAATTATTGATCACCGGCTGCAATGGGACTGTATCTTCTAACGTTGGTCCACTAACTTGTGGATTAGATTTTTGTGTCAAATGCTCGGAGTGTGACCCTTTACGAATACCACCCGCTTCGACCTGGGCACCCAGGCAGTATCATAGCTCACACGCAGATCAAGTGACTTGTGTGGCGCATACGTATTCCGTACCCTTTGTACCATTATTTATGTGTAATACTTGTCCGAATCTCTGTACTAGATGAGGATCCACTATTTTATCAACTAAATAGCCACACTTTCCCATTACACTGAGTCTATCTTCAGCATTGCTCATGAGGTGATTCCCAAACATACAAGAAATGTTTCGAATTCACGTACTGTTAGCGGAACATAGACTGGATCAAAGCAAGCTCAATGCACGATTGCTTTGGTGCACGTTGATTGGCTAATTCTTATCCAATCAGCACTAGCCGATCGTTGGAGAATACTCTAGAATCTTCTCATGTAAAAAACTATAAATATACTGACGTTTTTCCCTATTGTGCTTCTTACTGGCAACTTACTTCCATATAACCTTGTTATTTGGAATACAATCTCTTTCCTGTTCAACCGTGTTCTGATTTGGGGACTTGTCGAGTGAATAAGTGTCCGAGAATACTAAGCAATAGGAATAGCTGGGTCATAACCGTCAGAAAGAGATTTATAACACATACATAATTTCAACAAGTAGGATAGCGTTTGACATATTCTTGGGAATTCTTAATGTGGTTGAGGAGAATACATAGAGTTCACCTTAAAAATTAAGAACAACAACGCTTAATATTTTCTGAGAAAATCAACATCATGAACTTGCATATATTAATGTGATATATTAAAATCTTTGTAAATAACTAGTATCAACTAAATATATGTTGAAGCTGATCTGATGCCACAACTTTTCTACAATATTAGGGACCGACCGAGACTTAAACTGATAAATATTTGAGGGAACAAAACAGTTTAAATCCTGCCTATGTTCAAGCAATTCGTGACTGTCAACAAAGTCTATTTGGTAGCAAAGCAATAAAACTGCTGTAATCTCAATAAAGTATTATAAGTCACAATAATAGACACTATCATTATTATAACTCTTCTGGTATGGAACTTTTCAACCTTCTGTTGATGTAGTGTAGCTACCTGAGCAACATGAATATTTACGCGATGTACTGTGTTTTGCTTTAATGGACTGACGAATTTACAGACAGATACTTCTAATGACTTTTTCCAAGATTGATTATGAACTGGTTAGTTTTTAAAGCTGTAAAAAAAATTTTATATTTATTAAAATATAACAGTATCTCGAAATGAAAGGGAATCCACAAAAACTCGAATTGTAATTGAAAATGATCTTGAGTTAATATACATGTATATGAAGGTAGATAAAGTGTGTGTGTGTGTGTGAAGAAAATAACCAATTATACTGTACAAATTTGATAGAACAAATAAAAATGCTGATAATAAAACTGGTTTACAATCCTTAGAAGGAAATGTCGAGATTTGAATAAAAGGAGACAATTTCACCGACGTACTTTCGGTTTGCGTTTAGTTTTTTGCTTCCTGTTGAAGCTAACATGTGAAGGAGACCAACGATCATCTGATGAGAATGAGTCGATTGACAAATCATCATCTTCATCAGTACATTGTGATGAATTAACAAAAGAGGAGTCATTTGATGGTTCTGAAGTGGAAACACAAGACATTTCTGAAGTATATAAAGATTGACTAGAAGAGTTACTATCATCAGATATATTTGAAGGTCGGCGTCGACGAGGTCGTTTACGAATAGGACGTTTTTTATTGGATTGAGTACTGACAGTATTTTTCTTAGACTTAACTTTTTTACTACTACTACTTGTTGAAGGGAGATTTTCAATTCCTTGTTGACTTTGTTCATTGGATGCTTCAGATGTACTTCTGATACGAGTAGATCGTTCTTGTATTAGGCGTGCTAATGCAGCAGCTTGTTGTTGTTTGATTATATGAGCGTTGCGACGACCAGTGATTGTCGAAGAACTTGCTATTGAACAAGGTTTATCTGGGAATTCATCTATAAAACAATAATGATAGAAATACAAAGTAGACCTGAAGATTAATAAATAAAATATTTGCAAACAAATAAAATCTTTCATTCATTTTCAGCCGTTTAAGATGAAATAATAGAAATTCAATTAAAATAATAAAACGATCAGGTTGTAAACAAATAAATACTATTTATTCAAAGAGTAGAAGAATTCACGAAACAAATGATTATAATTTATTTACCAACAATACATCAGAGTCATGATGAGGTTGAACATGATATATAAAAGAAAATAAATCTGACTATCTAGACATAATATTAAAAGTTGTGACCAGTGTGTAAATTAACTGAAAGAACAGTTAACCTAGCAAAACAAAGCCCAAGTTTCAGTTAGTAAAACCGACGATTAGAAAAACAAAAGAAACGCAAAATGAAGCATTAAAACATTAAAATGAGATCATGGACTTATTTGAATCAAAGGCTGTCAAGAAATTAAGAAAAATAAAATAATGGGCAAAACCGGTTTAATGATTGACAACAAAAACTAACTGACGTTGATCAACTACTGTGAACCAGTAAGGACTGGACAGCTGCCTCATCCCATTATGGGACACGCCACTGGAAGCACGAGTGCACAACAACGTTAGAGATCGTAGCTGGGTTTCTTAGAAAGCGCCTAACCTTTAGACCGTTACACCGGTATACATCCTTGCTGACGAGGCCGCAGACTTACAGCTCGCCGAGGAGTCTCATACTACGAAGGGACGACTGTCTAGTGCTCTTCGAATTTTAATGGTTGTCTGACTGAGGCCAGTCTGTGAGGTACATCATAAAATTTTAAAAATTTTACAAACCCCTTTATTATTTATTTGAATAATAATAATAATAATAATAATAATAATAATAATAATAATAATAATAATAATAATAATAATAATAATGGGAGAAACAGTTCAGTTAGGAAAAATACGACCAGAAAGAATTCCTTCAGTTAAAAAAGTCACATTTACGAAGAAAGTAAAATAAAGTTACAGAAGGATCGCTAATGGCTTTTATTCTGAGTCATATCTGATAACGTCTCTAGTCGCTGGGTCGCACCATCTCTAGAACTCCGACCAGGGAGTCATGAAGGATTAGCAGAAGCCAGTCTTGTACAACCTTGCCATACACTGACCATCCTTCGGCTTTTTCCAACCAGTCCCAGCGTCGGTAAACAATTTAAGACGTGGAACTCTCTGGGACAACATTCGTAGGTGTGGACGAGAGTGATAATGATTAGTTGTTTGCTTACCTGGTTGGGGACCGCGAGATGATAGCAACCGATGGTTAGAGACCTGAATGACATGGCTCGAAATCGTTTGCAATGGCGCAGGTGCATCCACTCTTTGTGTTCTCCCAAATTTTGATCTCCTCATTCCTCCTTATCTCTTTTTTTTCTCTTCCCAAATTTATTTCACTGTATTATACTCTTTAAGTAACATCTCCAAACACTAATCTTCCCGATTACTGCTTATACTCTTATTACCTCTACCACTGCGGGATTTGAATTGACCACTGCATCTCTGTGCTAATGTGGTGTGGCAACTCGAACTGATGTACGTACGTACGAAGTTCGACGTTGATACTGACTGACTGACTTGCTTAGTCAGACTAGTAGATAGTTTGACAGGCGTTACATGAGTTATATATTCTCCTGTCCTTATTATTATTAATGATCTATTGGGTTGAATTGTGTCGGTTTTTGGTGTGAAATATATTTACGTTCTAGTCAGGCTAATCACGTGCTTTTGGTGTGAGTTGTGTTAAAGTTCTGTAGAATAGACAATGGATGGGAATCTAGTGCAGATATTCGTCTAAGGTCAATTAACGTCTCATTCGTAAAGACAGAGAAAACTCGAGTGTTATAACAGTAGTTCATGTCCAAGCTATTGAACTCGATGTTTCAAGATAGTGACACTAATTGGTACAAGGGGGCACCAGATATATATGCGCCACGATTCCCTACACCCATCAAAGCTGTTTCCAAAATGTCATCGACAGCGAAGTTGAAGAGGAATGGTGAGTTTGAGCAATCCTGCCTAACCCCACAACTGAATAGGACAATGAAGAGAGGTGGTCGCATACCCTTACTCTGCCTGATGTGTTTGTATATAGGGTTTTCAAGATGTTAATAAACTTCACAGGCACACCCTTCTTCATTAGACAATCCCAAAGAACAGTCCTGTTCAATCAATCGAAGACGTCCCTACTATCAAAAAACAGGACGATTATTGGCCTGTAATAAGTATGACGGTGTTCTAACACTTGGCAGAGGGTGAAAATATGATCAGCACATCCTCGATCAGAAAGAAAACCGGCCCGCTCCTCGCGAGTCAATCTTTTTCGTGTTTTGAACAATCTACGAAGTATGACGGAAGTCAATAGTTTGGACCCAATCGGGAGCAGACTCATCCCCCAATCGTTTTTGCAGAAAAGGTGTGAACCCTTTTTAAAGATAGGGACAACTATCGACTCATTTTGTGATGTTGGAACACTCTCTAACTGCCAAACCTTTGTAAAAAAAAAACTCAGGAAGTCACCACCATCCTTAGTTAGGACTGGAGGTAAGTCGTCTGTGTCTGGTGATATGTAGCGCTTCAAGAGTTGGGGTTCCTTGAGGACTTCTACCATGCTAGGTGGATCAGTCGTCACAAGCCATAGACGGTAGAACAGTTTGACCGATGTTGCCGATACAACCCCCTACATTAATAAAAACACGGCTGAACAGTTTATTATCACAACATGAAGACTCACCTTCAGAATCGGATGTTAGTACCTTTTTAGATGTTTTTGGTTTACTATTAACCTTGTTATTATTAGGTCTAGTTGAGTTTCCTTTCCTCTTAGACCCACCACCATCAAAAGCAAGAGATAATGCCTTGTTATATAACAATCTTTCATTATCTCTTAAGGGGATATGTGAATTTTTCTTAAGCATTGTTTGATTCACTCGATGAGCAGTTACTTCCAATAGTCGTTGATAGAAAGCAGATTTAGAACCATTGATATCATACTGATTTATATTGTTAACGGAACTATTAGAGGTTCTCAACATAGTTTGCACAAGTTCTGGAGGCCAATTACTGTCTGCACGTGAGATCTGCTTAGGATCCATAGTCAATTCATTACGTATAGCGTTAAATTCATCTAAATGGGAATTTAAATCATTTTCTTCGGTTGAGCCAGACAAAGAATGAGGAATACTTACAGACTGTAACGGGCTAATCACTACTAACGGACCTTTATTGCCAAATCGAATTTCATCTCTTGTGCGAATAAAGTCAGATGAAAGATCCGACTGCTGAATGTCATTTGTCGGAACAGTATGATCAGTAGTAAAAGGGGTCTCCAATATTCTGTTATTTGGTTCAAAAAGTGAAGAAGAATCTGAATCATCATTTGTCAGATCAATTTCAAGCGTGAAAGTTCGTGTAGACTGCGTATTACTTGAGCTATGAAAAATCGAAAATGGAAGTGATTTAGATATACGTAAAAACTGGTTCAAAAGTAACAAGTTACATTTGAAGTTATTAAATATATTATATACACTGATAATTACGACAAGAAGTTATCATAGTGGTGATACTTTTATAGACAGGAGATATAAAACAGATGTATTGGGGCTACTAGTAGCATCAAGGACTAGTGTTTCTTCCCGCTTGGGACTCGTCAGCCCAATATACCCTCTTCTAACAATAATTAAAAATGATAATAATAATAATACAAAAAATGACTTTCCAACTCCCAAAAATGTATGCTTATATGACGCGGACTTGTTTATCGAAATGTTATCATTTTTTTGTTCTTTAAATGTCTGTTGCTTTAATATGCAATCACTACAGTATAAAATATATTGCATAACTTATTCAACAGTTTATAGATAAGTACACACTACATAATGCAAGTGAAACAACTGGATACGTGTAAACACCAGTGGAATATAAGAAAGTGTTGACTTACATAGTACTTTTTTCTTTTAAACATGGAAAACCATTATTTATATCATCCTTTTGACCGTTATTACAAGTGGTTTTAAGCTTATCAACATTTTGTGGACACTGAATGACACTTTTATCATTACTGCCATTTTGGACATTTGTCTCCGTCTCCTTTGTATCATTATTATTAGTATCATATTCATCATCATCACTTAAGATAATTACCTCAGGTTCTAGCTGACAATTGTCATTATTACTAGTAGTATTGTTGTGATTAACTTTAGTTACTTGTTCTGCCGTTTCCATATATGTATTGTTTATATCAACAGTGTTTCTTTCGGATTCATTCAATTTATCAGTAGTCACTTTGGCTCCTTCATTAGGTGCTTCAAGATTTTTTAATGTAATAAGGGCCTTTACATTTTCAACATTTTTTTGTTCAATTTTTAATTGATTAGATTCCGTGATGAAAGAACTATTTGGACTAACGTCATTAGGATTATTTAAATGCCAATCACCATTTGCATCCAACTGAACAAATTCAACGTCAACACTACGAGGATTCTTCAAAATACTCATAAAAAATCTGGTGTGGAAAAGAAAACGAAATTTTTAAAAAAATTATTTTTTAAATCAATAATATGAACACTTCAATTTCCTGTTTATAAGAGGAAATATTAGGTAATTAGTGCTTCAAGGGATATAAATTTAACGATACATGAATAGTAAAAAATGATAATGTTATTAAATTAATTAATTAAAGTTCCAAACTTCTTATAGTCTGTTGAGGTACATAATTACAATTTCCTTCCGTATTTATTTTTTTAAAGGACTGGTGATCATTCTGAATGGAGAGTAGTACTAAGGCTAGGTTGGGCGACGACGGATTTCTATGTTCCAAGCAATGTGTCCTCCAATGCTGCGTCACATCGAGCCCTTGTCTTGGAGTCATTACCTCGTTGCCTTTCTATTCGTGTCTCCGGTCGACCCGTACCCTTACCTGACCCCATTTTTCATGGTGGTCAGGCTCAACGTCTTGGAAAGCGCCTTCATCTATCAATTGATATAACAGACAAAGTATGTGCATCTTTTTAATCTGATTATATGATTTTAGTTCCATCGATTTTTTGGCAAAACGTTTATTCAATACTGTCATAACTTGTGGCCATTAGCATATAATGATACCACTAATTAGAGAACAGTGATTTATCGACAGGTTCAATGACACAGTCGAGACACCAATTACGTGAGTTCCATCTAACAACACGGTTCAGTATAACAGTTAATGGACTTTATGCATTGATGTCACAACTTGGTTTGTTCAAACTTATAGATTTCTTACACCTATTAAACGAAAGACATAACAACACTAAAAAAATCCACTTACTCATCTACTCTTAAGTCACGAAATGGTGCAGAGATACTACAAATAGGGCAAGACCAACGAGGTCTTCGCATATTGATTGTTAAATATGAGTGTAAATCAAAACACTGAAGATGTGAACAGTTGAACGATCGTACAGGAAGCTACAATAAAAATATGGAAAGATCAAATAATTTTAACAAATAACATTCTTTTATTTATGTTTAGATAATTCAAAGTGATAGTTGATATGATTATTATATTAGACGATTAACTGTTGTATGGAATACGCTTTTTACGTTGGCATACAAAAATGTTTTAGTTTCGACTACTGTTTTATAAAAACACCTTAATGAAAAGTTATTAGAATTGTATAATCTAACTATCGGGAGTGATAACTTAGTTGTTAAAACAATGTGGGCAGCTACAAAGAATCACATGAAGTGTTTGGCTCGAATGAATTACATTATAGTTGTAGTATACACAGCAAACAAAGCATAAGATTTTATTTAACGATACTCCTAGATGCAGGTAATAACAACGCTGTTGGAATACCTACACTTGACTCACATATTTCATCTTAAAAAATGGCACAGCATTGCCTTTTGTATTAGTAGGTTAAAGGGGAGGGGTTATAGTACATGAAACCGAATGACACTGCAGAAAAATCAAATCTAGGTACAATACTACATTTGTGTAAAAACTAAGAGAAGAGTTCAGTAGTAGACGATTATTAAACCACACAAATACTGATAATAAAGTGCTAAATAACAAATTTAGAAAGGCAAACTAATCACAGGAAAGTAATAACAACGTCAGTGTAAAGGGGGAGAAACTTACATCGATTCTTGTTCGAGTTAGTGGACACAATAAGCACACAGGGATGTAGTCAGCAAGCTCAACGTCACCATCTTCAAAACATAAATCACTATCGTTAGACGATTTTTGAAGCCGAGATTTCAGTTCGTGCTAGAGTTGAAAAATAACGGCATAATAAGAAATAAGTTGTTTATTAATGATTAGTTTTAATCTAAGAGTTGTAGGAATAAATAATATCAACAGATGTCTTTCACAAACCACAGAAGATTAGTACGAAATGCAAAAGTGCTTGGAATTAATCATTTTGTACTTAAAAATCTAGCTTAAAAATAACTCAAGATTACAAAATCAAACCAGCTTTTTCCTTCAAATGAATTGACCACTTTTTTCTGACAAGTTATTTTACTGACACAAACCAAACTCATAGAACATAACATCGTACAATAATTACTCTCTTAAGTGTGGTACAAAAACACTCGTTTACATAATAAGATTGATTAATATTAGACTTTCCTACCATTCATTTGTAAGAAGTAAACGATGATGTTAAACAATATATGGACGTTGATAGTACTTGATTATTGGTGTCTTTAACACGTTGCTCAGATGGAGTACAAATGCAAACTATGTTAAAGGTTACGTACAACGTTTAAAAAAGAAATATGATGAGACTATCAAACTGACTTATTTCAAGGTAGCATATATCAAGTCACCATTTGTTTGATGTTCATTGTTGGTTAATGGAGTCTTTAAAATAAAACGTGAAAAACCTAAATTAAAACACAGAATTAGCCTTCGGAATTACAGTTTTGGCAGTATAAGGAACTAGTCTTTTGGGTTAGAATTAGTGGGATTTGATTTTACAACTTTGATTGACTAGGGTTCCCTTCGTCGAATGGCAGTTATTTGGATCATTCCTGTTGTTAATAAGTCAGAAGATCAACTATTTTCATCACTAAATTTTACTAGAAATCACAATAGACGTTGTATTGAACAATTTAAGGTTGAAAACTGTCACTTCTGATTAATTAGAAGCTTACTAGTTACTGATTATTGATATAAATAACAATTATCTGATTATATCAACCCGAATATATTTTTTGTTGCCTGTTGCTGCTTTCACTTCAAAAGCATCAAAATACATTTGGACACTAAGATAAATTAAACGTCAAGATCGTTGTCATAACGTTATGCATTGGAACTGTAAAAAAGACTGACAACTTGCAAACTAGTTAGGACAAAAATCATTACTTTTGTATTATCAGCAGGAAGTGAGAATGCCGGTGGCAAACAATTGTCATAAGCCCCGAAAACCCCATGATCTTCTAAAGTTCCTGAACCATCTGCATTTACTGTTAATGATGGAAATTCAATAGGATCTAAGAGTGGTCCATTGATGAAATTTTTGTAGGCCTCTGGATTTTCTAAATTAAAGGTATTTCGAAGATCTGAAACTGAATAAGCTCGATCAAGTGTAACTTGAACTAGAGGCAACCCAATCAGATGACATAACAATGGAGAAACCAGTCCATCAGCAACCAAGTTTAAGAGTCCTACAGATTGATCTTCCAATGGTGCATGCAACCAGGTTAATTCAATATCGACAACTCTGTTTCTAACTGCAGAACCACACTTCATGAGTACCTGATTAAAAAAATTATTGTTCAAGTTGTAACTCTTGAAATCTATGTGGAACAAGTAACACAAATACGTAAATATACTCGGTTTGTTCATTCCCTATCGGGAAATTTATTAACGTGATAAGTAAACGGTAAAAAGTCACTAATCCTTAAAATATTTGTGAGATAGATAATGCAACACTACATAGTTGGATATCTACAATAGATTCATTAGAATGTTTACTTCAATTTGTCTAGAAATTAACTAAATTCAATGAAATGAACAAGGCTTCAGTGAAACCAAGTTAAAACCAAAAATTTAGTGAATGTGTTTACCAAACTTGTTGAAAATTGCCTACATTAAGTTGGAAACCATTATGGATGACACTTCATTTCTACAGTGTTTCCATCATGTAATTTTTACTTCGGTGGTTCATGGAGAATAGTTCAGTTTGGAGATCATTTTCGTCACGAATCAAATATAACCAATTAAAAAACAAGATCAAGCACTGGGTAAAGGTTGAAAATCTGTTGGTAAAGTAATGAATTTTCATCGTCTGAGGTGGTTTGGATATGTATTACATGGGCCCATACCTTGACACACAGTTGTAAGATTTTTCTTGTATGCATTTGCTTATTTGTGTGTGAAAATCCCTTCATATATAAAATCCATATGATGGCACTTATTTGTTTCTCTTTATGTGTAACGCTACTCCTACTATTCACTATTCACGTTTAATATTTTCAATATTATTGATTTGTTTGAAGTGAATATATTGGCTACAGATCCCGAAATTGACCAATGTATATATGTATCATAGTCTAATTTATTTACGACTGATTGCTTGAATTGAAGAAACGTTAAAAACGGGGATACGCTGGACAGTTGTTTCACCTTAGATTTCGATTTCCTAGCAGCGTCCCTTTGTATTTCTAACACAGATTGAATCTACGGCTTTGAAACCTTAAGGTGAGTGCGTTATCTTGATAACACTCAATTAAAAATGCAAGGCTTTATATTTACAGCTTTTGTTAATCAACGATATTGTGCAAGCATTAGTTAGTTGCACTAGTGATATCTATCTAACTAGAGACATGCCTTAACCCCGGTTGTCACGATTTGTTAAATGAACTTCGGGAATTTGTTATGAAATCAGTCAATATTGAACACATCATTTTTTACTTAGACGACTTGTGGATATTTGTTAATTTATTTAATCCAACTTTGTTGCATATACGAAACAAGAATATTGACAGGTTATATTTCATATGAATAAGCTGTCGAAACAAGAGATGTGTTGAAGTTAAACTAGATTAACTCGTTTACCAGGTGCTCGAGTATGAGCAACACTATAAGAGTGAGGGTTAATGATACTATCCTATTGCTCAAACCGAATTAGGTGTGTCGGAGTTCGGACCTTCAACTGAAGTCAAAGCATAATTAAACCGTAGTAACATGGCCACCTTAAGAACGATTCCTTTCCATTATGTGGTAACTAAATAACTGTTTATTAACTTTCACACTGAGTGAATAGAGAACATTGATTACCATTTATTGCAACATCATTCTTTAACATATCATGAGATATTTCTTATTTTCAGTCACGTTTTGAGATAGTTTAAAAGATGATAAAAAAAAGTAAACAGATCCCACGGCATATCTAAGAATACAAAGAAAACTACTGAGATTTTTTCACAATCTTAGAAAAAACCTAATTAGGCGATTTGGTGGAATGTATTAGATCATTACTATAACGTTTGTTCTCTTATTGAGTTATGTTTAAAACTCCTAGTCTTTAAATAACGATGTAAAAAAAGTTCACTAGTTTTAACGTATTTGTTATATCCCGATGAGAATAATGTATAGTAACTGTTGGAATTTATTTCTGGACTAATACTATACTATTTTTACTATATAATTATTAAGTAGCTAAACTATGCATATTCATGTTCCTCCTAGTATCAGCCTTATTTTCAGTCAGAGATTATTAGTATACGGCTTACCGATCTTGAGTTATGCCCAGTCTATTAATTACAATCTCCTACGTCCACAGACACTTATGGCTAGATCTTGTACAAATTTTATTTCCTATTTTATGGTATGATGTGGTCTGTTTGACTGCTGTGTAAAAACCCAGTATATTTGAAATACATAATTTATATCGTGGAGGCTGAGACTGGTGTTTTGGACTTAACAGGAGGCAGGACCGATAGATTCTAGACTGCTCGTACGAGTGGTATCATCAAATTATATGCTAATGGCCACAAGTTATGACAGTATTGAATAAACGTTTTGCCAAAAAATCGATGGAACTAAAATCATATAATCAGATTAAAAAGATGCACATACTTTGTCTGTTATATCAATTGATAGACGAAGGCGCTTTCCAAGACGTTGAGCCTGACCACCATGAAAAATGGGGTCAGGTAAGGGTACGGGTCGACCGGAGACACGAATAGAAAGGCAACGAGGTAATGACTCCAAGACAAGGGCTCGATGTGACGCAGCATTGGAGGACACATTGCTTGGAACATAGAAATCCGTCGTCGCCCAACCTAGCCTTAGTACTACTCTCCATTCAGAATGATCACCAGTCCTTTAAAAAAATAAATACGGAAGGAAATTGTAATTATGTACCTCAACAGACTATAAGAAGTTTGGAATTTTAATTAATAGAGAGATGTAGAACAACAAATCCGATTACTAATTAATCGACTGAACGACCAACTTAGCTAGAAAGCAATCAGAAAAGTCTACCAAAAAAGTTTATGACAGTGAACATCGAGGTAGAAATGAGAAAAACCTAACGAATGAGACCGAATACAACAACACTCAAATTTCGGCATGCATTACGTATGCCCATTCACTAAAGCTTGACGTACGGTGTAGGAAGTCTATAAGCTCGACTAAATCAAGCTGTGACCTCAGTGCGTAAAGTTCATTAACTGTTATACTGAAGCGTGTTGTCATATGAAGCTCACCTAATTGGTGTCACGACTATCGTAACCGATAGCTGGAAACGTTGAGTGACATGGCTAAGGATATTTCTCATTGATGCAGATGTACCTATTCATCATCTTCCCCTAGATTTCCAGTTCTGAATTATCGTAAAATTACTTTATCCCTTCGATTGATTCTTTCTTCTTGAATGCTATTATCCATACGCATAATCTGTTGTACTACCACTCCAGAATTTGTTTTGACACTTTCATCATACTGTGATGATATGGTGTGACGTCAGCCAACAGACATTTGTCAGAGCCTAATTTGTGTATGACTGACTGGACTTCTGGGCGTACAAAATAACGGGAGGAGTGATTTACGAATTTGCAAAATAAGACGATAACTGATATAATGTAGTTGGAGATAGTCGACAGAACCTGGACATAGGTTGGGACTCGTCAGTAAGCCGTATCTGGAATCAGAGAGGATCCAGTACTCCAAGTGGGGTTCGGACAAAGGTCACCCACCTTCATAGCATGATAATACGCTAACGATCTGTCCTAGCTGAGACTGACCTCCCGTAAGAATGAAATATGTACAACGGTTAATCATTGAGTAGTAGTTCTACGAACTAACCCGTCGTTGGTTACTACTTGGTGATCAAAATAAGCACGGTAACCCATTTCTTAGCTTCAGTTCCGAGTACTCGAGAGTCATTATGATATACGAATGAATAAAAGTAATAACATCCTGGTGGAGTTCGAAAATACCATGCATTCGAATATCAAAAATTTTTAACCGACCACAAAACTTTGTTGATTGTAACGAGTTACTTATAAGTAGTTAAAAACAGAATACAAAAGTAAATAGACAACGCGTGGGAATTGTCGAAAACAAAAGCAAACCACTGACGTGCATGATACATCTATGAGTAAAAACATTAATATGAAAAGAAAAACACCAGATACCTTCCCCCAAAATTAGGTAACATTAAAAACACAAACAATGCATAAGTGAAAGAGACAGTCACCTATAGACACTTATTATCTGAACTAATGAAACAACGCGTAGAAAAATCATGGAAGCATTGAGGAGGGAAATTTGCAGAATATTCAGCAAACATCACTTTTACAGTTGTATGAAGAGTATATCTAACCTCAGAAAGATCAACCAATACAGAACTATAATTAAAATACAGTATGCCCGCAGAGTTATTAAAAAACATTGAAATTGAAATGTCCAAATGTCGAAGGATGATGAAAGTTCACAACCTGATGAAACTTATAGCTGAATAAGAAACCGACGTGTATGCCAAGAACTAGTCCCTCCAGAATTATTACCTTAAATGAAAAACCTCTGTTTGAAGAAGAATTAATTTAGATAGACTGTCCTTGGGCCGACCTGTCTAATTTCGATCACAAGTGACCTACAAAGGCGACCAATCAGGATGGAAGTTGAAAAATCGATAGATTAACTTGTGTACTGACACGCTCACAGTGAGACCTGCAGTCTGAATTAGTGGATCACTTGTTTAATTTAATTCATGTCCGTCTATCTAAACTTTGAATACATAATTTGGTGTGACAGACATACTGGCGAAAAATCGAATCAATATTTTAGTACACAGACCAATCGACGAAAATAACAAGAAAATGAGAACTCGTGTTTAGTTTAACGTAATAGTATTTTGCAAATAAACGGAAAAAACTACTGTTTTATATCAGTGCTTGCATGGAAAATTGGTCCTCCCATATAGTTTAAGTTTCAGATGGTCATTAGAAATATCATCCCATGAAATTGCATGTTCTTTGTTTGGACTATGTGGAACCCGTTACCATCTAAATAATATGACTTCGTAAAGAGATTATTAGGACAAATAACGTATACCACAAATACTTCTTAGCATGTCAACGCGGACACTTGGGTAATGTATTAAAAAGGAATTCCTTCATTTCAGTACATTTTCTAAAGAGCCTGAATAGTATGATAATGAGGCAGTGAGTCAAATGCAATCGATTTCAAGAAACGAAAATCAAAACGATTGCAAAGCACTATCGGCTAGGATGTATGGATTTATTGTTACTATGGCGAGAGTATAATTTGTGGACGAATCAATCAGAATTAGGATAACAGGTCTTGAATTTTGGTGCGAAATTCACTCACCCATTCGTCCAAGTAGCGTCTTGGCATTTTAGCTGTCAGTTTGTGATGAAAACTAACAACTGTAAATCATTGTCTTTATTCTTCAAACTGCTTTATAACCTTCGTTTAGCCTTAATAAATAGATAGGTCACTTTAGCGTCGCTCAAATGTCATCCATGAATTATAGTCTCATTGTTACTATTATTATTACTGGCTTTATTCAATATATGTTTAGTACGACATGGAATTCTCAGCACACAAAATTTTAACGAGTTTCTTTTAAAAATCAAAAAACGATAACTGCATACATATACACATACACTAAGTTAGTAAACTACCTGGAATTAAATGGAATGTTTCAAGTGTAATAAGAATCTGTACAGCTTATAATTAGACACATTTAAAAATACAAATAGGTCAGCTCTAACAACCTGCTATTCAAAGTATGTTCGTTAGATGAAGTACCATATTAATAATGACCTCAAAACATTCACCACACACCCTTCTAACTGCCTTCATCATTCTGCAAAACAGCAAAATCTCTTCTCAAAAACCCGGCAAAGAATGACAGGTAATATGCAAGAACTTACAAATCGTAAAATTAATGAAGAAAGTATGTAGCCTCTTTATATAATAAATTAAACGGAAAACTTAATATCACTAAAACATGAGAAGACTGAAAGAGATCAAAGGGAAAACTTCCATAAAAAGAAATAAGTTTTGATACTGTTTATTACGGAATCGCCAGTAATATAAAATTTATGGGGATCCTAAAAGGTGTTTGAGGACTATTTATGTCTCAGTCTAAATTTAGAAGCTTGCCATATTATTTATTTATTTAAACACAAACATTCGTACAAGAAAGCACCGAATAAATATGCACCACACAAGTCACTTGATTCGTTTATGGGCTGTGATACTGCCCAGATGCCCAGGTCGAAGCAGGTGGTATTCTTAAGGGGTCACGCTCCGAGCATTTGACACAAAAATCTAATCCACAAGGTAGTGGACCAACGTTAGAAGATGCAGTCCCATGGTAGCCGGTGACCAACGATTTGTTCATACGCCATTTGTTCCCTCGGGACACCGGAGCCCATATGTGCCATTGGTTTGGAGTCAGGGTCTACTAAATCCCCAGGGTGGATCCTCCATATCCACCAACCTGGTTAAAGAGCCGGACAATCGCTTTTCGCCTTCCCAACTTCGTAAATAACACCCCCATCGCGAGAAGGCGTTGGGTAGGACTTCCCTGATCGTGGCTGTATACGCGTGGCCATGTGAGAGCATTTTGAGATGGAGAGCAAACCCTCCCCACTCTCGGCCGTACCAGGGCATTTGAGGGAAGTTTGCAATTCAGAAAGATTACGTGTGAAACTATTAACAACCAACGATCGTTCAATGAGAGACAAAAGCTCATTCATTTCAAGGGGACATAAATAGGTAGATATCAGTGTATATGCAATGAGATCGTCCATACATTGAACAAAAGTATTTCCTGTCGAAGATGGCAGATCATTTAGGAAAAAAAGGAGACAGAACAGATCATTGTGGCACACCTTCATGAGTAAGCGGAGACGTAGAATACTTTCTTCCGCGGACGGTGTACTGCTCTTTTCCAGAAAGGTAAGAACGCATCCAGATGGTTATCCAGTTGTAGGTTTTAATGAGAGCAAACGTGTTATAGTGCAAAATAATAGCAGCATCTAAGATACATTCCTACACCTTTTCAGTATGAAATTAGTTGAGAAGGATTTGTTAAAGATGCCTATGAATGCATGGCACAGAGTGTCAGCACACTTCTTAAAAAGGAGGTTTGGGATTTCATCAGGTTCCAAATATTAGAATGAGTTTACTGATTGGAAACACTATCAGGCATCAGTTTCAATGAATATCGAAACACAACTATTATTCAAACTTGTGGATACAGGAAGCATGACATCAGATAACTGACGTACAAAAGACTTATTTAAGTCACAAACATTCAGCTAGTTATATTCATTAATACATCTCCCACCTGTAAGCTCTTTAAATAGTTCCCACACATTTGAAGAGTTTTTACAGGGTATGAGTATCTAAGTAAGCATCGGATTCAGATTGGTGAATGTCATTACCAAGGTCTGACTCGACGATTCCACATAAATTGAGCATTGGGTAGATTTTTATTAGTAAAAATAATATATCTGTAATATTGAAATGAGTAGAAAAATCAGGTTTTTAGATTTTCTGACGTTTCGTCTTTCAGTGTAAGCCACTTCTCCTGAAATGGTTTTAGTTGTATAGGATTTGTTCAAGTGGACGCTTTTACTATATGGATTTTGTATGCATTAAACAAATGATTATTGGGACAAAATTTGGTTATGTATCTCAGAAAACAAGTTTAAAAAACATACTTTTTACGCACACTGAAGAAACCGAACTCACCAAGGCAGGCCAGAACGAAATATTCAAATAGACGTGTCAGTCAACATATGCTGTGGCGATTGATGAAAATAAGTATCTTGTCTATAACTCGGATGCTTTCGTTTCCTTCAAAATTCGATACGGTTGTGAAATACACAATGTTCAATTCCCCCCCCGTAAAATGTATTTACTATCACTTTTTGAAGAACAGCTTGTCTACACGCTTTTTCTAGATTTCTCCTGCTTAATTGTAGATTAAAATCAATCTCCAACTTAAATTTACGAAAGTTTTTTTAAAGATCGAATGCACAGCTATCAGTTTTTACGTTGAGATTTTACTACACAGTGTCATGAATACCTGCATCTAAAATCTAATTCATCATTATGCAAGAAGTTATCTGATTAGTCTAACAATTCAGTGAGCTTCAAACTTATTTGTTGGCACTTTTATTATATCAATACATATGAACTTACTTAGGACGTAGTAGTTTGACAACTTGACGCTCCAATTCTAAGGTAAATACATAGGTCATGTAGTCTGTTGTGAAACCTACAGAAGCTGCGGAAGGTGGAAATTGTGGAGCGAAACCTGGATACTTTGTTACTTTAGCATCAGCCATTTCACGCAGAGAACGGACCATATTATCAGTATCCGGTATATTTGGATTGACATTTCCAGGAGCAGTAAACTGAACACGGCGCAGTAGTACTACAGGTCGTAAAAAAGGAGATTCAGAATAAATGCCTAAAAGACCAGGTGGAGAAATAATCCAGTTCATTTCATGCAATGCATCTGAATCGGCTTTGCATCGAGGCCAAACAGAAATCCGCTCCTTTCTGAACGACTGTGTACACGCTAAATATAAAAGAAATCAAATGTTATTATATGAGTTAGTCATATAGCTCAAATGATAAGCATAAATCGGACAGGTACGTGAAAACAAAACAATGTTCCATGAATTCGATATACATTCAGAGCATTTGCAAGTATTGTATAATAAATTTAATGTGATCACCATACACTACTGCTATTTCTAGTTTCTGTCAAGTACATACAAGATGGAACCAGAACTTAGCAAAAACTCGAAGTAAAATAATACCATGAACGTCTATGGTAATTATTCTAACTAACAACAAACGCAATAAGGAAAATAATAAATTCACATCAGAGAGCTGGTTTAAATAAATAAAAAAGAAATCAAGTCACACTATTTTATTCAACAATTGTATCGATATGAAGCCTAAGAAATATGCTTAAGTTCGAATTTGTTGGCGAGTGACTGATCTATAAATCTATTATCTTCCAATTGTCTAGGAAATTTTATTATGTTCATTTTGTAATTAATGTATACATAAACATAACATTTTGTTAAAAGAAAACTTATTATGGTGGATAGTTGACTTGTTTTTTTTAGTGTGATTTTATTTAGCGACTTACGGCAATAATTTGAACTTGTAAACAGTTATTACTCGCTTACACTGCATCAATGAGTCTCCCCCGTCGATCAGAATTAGATTCCTTTACTTTAACAAGTTAAATGCCACTCGCTATTATAAAATATTCGAAATCCTTCCACGACATATACCTTCAACGACGGAGTTCACACGTGAAAAACTGATATTACGCTAAGAAAGACCACATACATGCAAAAGAAACAAATTTTTTCGGTACTGAATTTTAATACACGTGCAAGGTATAAAATGAATTTGTGATCTACGATCGCAGAAAATTAGTGAGTTTACTAAACGTCAGTAAGCGAATAGCTGAGCTGATTCCGAACTTGCAGTAAGCACAGTAGAATTGTCAGATATTTTGTCTACAAGAGAGAGCTAAAATGAAATTCGATGATAAGTTGGAGTGAAAAATATCCTAGAAAAGAAATTGAACATTACAAACCTTCTGCCCATCGAACAAAAGCCGCGGCACCCAATTTTCGTGTGCGATTGATTGAGTCAGAAACTGAAACAAAATTACTCGACACAAATAATGATTCCACGGATGGATTGACTGTACGACTGGTAGTCAGTGAATTACAAGTTGTAGTGGCCGTGGTTGTACATGTCGATGTGGAGTTGATATTGTTACGTGTGGTACAGTTTGTTGACCTCAATGCAACTGAGTTTACTGAGCCATGAGTGGATCCAGACGAACTAATCCCAGGCGCAGTGATGCGAATATTCGGCTGATAAGATAGTTGCGTAGGTCGAAAACTAGTGAACAGATTCCCATTCGGTCCTGCCACTGTATTAACATAACCTGAGACATTTGGGGGAGAAATGGTAACTTGAGATGGATTTGTTCCACGTAAAAGTGTTTGAAAAATACTGTTAAATGCTGGGTAATTTGCGAAAGCGTTGGCATTTGACTGAGCAATGTTACTTGTAGTGACTAAAGGGAAATTTGACGTTGAATTACTGACTAGAAAAGCAATTTTAATAAACTAGATTTATTTTACCGGTAGGTTTCTGTAGGACATTACTGCCTCTGGATTGTGCAGTTGATGGATAAGCATTAAATACATTTCTAGGAACGGAAACTAAGGATGATGCTTGTGATATGACCGGTATCGGGAGGGAGTAGTCAGAACGACATAGCTCAAAAGGTAAACCAGATCTGATAGTACCATTTGGTAGATTAGGAGTGCTCATTTTCAAACTATAAGAAGGTAAGATTTAAAATAAATAAACAGAAATTAAGAGAATGGCGAGACAATAATTATGCAGAAAGATTTACCCAAAAGATTGCGACATTGACTTGATATATATATATATATATATATATATATATATATATACATTGGGTGACTACTGTCAGTGATTCGGTTTGTTTTTGAATTTTGATCGTCCACGTCCATAAGAGAAGAAAATACTTTTCTTGTGATAGCCAGAGGAATCAAATTGTTTAGCACTTCAGCCTTTACTATCATTTGACGCGGCCTGCTTGAACATCTGGGCTACCTGGTCCTCCGATCTAGATATTTCATCAAGTTATCTGTTTTGTTGTTTGTTTTAGCACATCATTATGTCTATTGTGCTCACAATCTATTAAGGCACGTTTATGAAAAGTTTACAACCTTTAGCTATACGTGATACAAAAAGGTACAATCAGCGACATCATGTTGGCTGGCAATATGCATTGAAACGAATGAACATTAATCAAATGTGGAATACCGAACTCCTAACATCTAACCGGTCACCATTCAAAATTTATCGTCACAATAGAACAAGGTATAAGAAAAGGAATCTTGTTGAAATACTGTATGCTGAGAATTCTATGTTGTACCAAAAATATAATGTTGAATAAAGCTTCTGATAATAATAATAATAATCATAATAATCATAATAATAATCATAATAATAATAATAATAATAATAATCATAATAATAATAATAATAATAATAATAATAATAATAATAATAATAATAATAATAATAATAATAAGAAGAAGAAGAAGAAGAAGAAGAAGAAGAAGTCGATTTCAGGAGCAGAAAGCTCAAGAAAACCAATCAGTTCTCAGGTCTACTCGTGTATGTATTGACCGAATATCAACTTCTAAGCAGTTGGTATTTGTCACAAGGATGTACAATGTACGTATGCAAAAATCCTGAAATCTTTAACCCAGTATTAATTATGCCAGCCAACGATGATCTCTCGTCTAAATTGGCAATATCGAGTAGTTTTAAAAAGGACTAACCACCTTTTTTTTATTCTCACTGTTTCGTTAGATATATGCTACTACAAATAACACTTTGGGTAACCTTTTAGGCATTGACCAACTTAGAAATTCACTATTCAACTAACAGTTTTTAGAAGAGATAACTTTTAGTGAAGAGATGTAAAAAAGGCAGTATTTTATGTGAGAAAAATTGTTTTGGGACAAGTCTGCGTCAATGCCCAGTTTGACCTTAAGTGGCAAACGTAGCTGTGCTGACTTCACTTATAATAGAAGTATCATCAGTCCTAGTTGGTTGGTAGCTGATAAAATAATAGCACCGATCCAAAAACAATGTATGGCCCTTGCCATCTGTGGTGAGGTCAGTCAGTCAGTAACAACGTAGAACTTCGTACGTACGTACGTACATCAGTTCGAGTTGCCATACCACATTAGCACAGAGATGCAGTGGTCGATTCAAATCCCGTAGTGGTAGAGGTAATAAGAGTATAAGCAGTAATCGGAAAGATCAGTGTTTGGAGATGTTACTTAAAGAGTATAATACAGTGAAATAAATTTGGGAAGAGAAAAAAAGAGACAAGGAGGAATAAGGAGATCAAAATTTGGGAGAACACAAAGAGTGGATGCACCTGCGCCATTGCAAACGATTTTGAGCCATGTCATTCAGGGTCTCTAACCATCTGTTGCTATCATCTCGCGGTCCCCAACCAGGTAGTCTACACCTACCAACATGACTCAGTTCACTTGTCAGTGACTTCATGGACTTGTGCCATGTTTTGGTCTGGCCGCCCCTAACTTTCTTCCAGCCCACTCCTACACCATGAAAGATCGCACGTCGGGGCAAACGGTCGTTGGGCATACGTAACACGTGTCCCAGCCATCTCAACTGATGAAGTTTCACCACTTCATCAATTGATTTGCCATCCTTACCTAGCACCCGTTTCCTAACAACTGCATTACTTACTCGATGGTCCCAGGATATACGAGCAATATTTCAAAGACACCTATGATCGAATACTAGTAACCTACGAATATCCTCTACTCTTACCGGCCATGTTTCACTGCCATAAAGTAGGACGGAACGAACTGCTATGCAGTAAACACGTCCTTTGGTTGACAGACGGATATCTCGCCTACGCCATAAATGACGCAAGTTAGCAAAAGCTAGTCGAGCCTTCTGTATCCGTGCTGAGATTTCGTCACACACCAGACCACAAGGGCTGATGAGACTTCCAAGATAAGTGAAGCGGTCGACACACTCAACTACTTCACTCCCTATCACTAGTTCGGGGATCGATGTAACCCAATCCTGAAGCAACATTTTGCATTTCGAGGGAGAAAATCGCATCCCGAACATGCTTGCATTGTTGCTTCGAGTTGTCAGAAGACTCTGCATTTTGTAAGCGTCTTCGCCAAATAAAACTATGTCATCGGCATATTCTAAGTCAACAAGTGAACCTCCTGGTAGAAGTCCAACCCCTGGAAATTTAGATGAGGAAAGTGTCATCTCTAAAAGTACGTCAATGACAAAGTTGAACAAGAATGGAGAGAGTGGACAGTCCTGACGAACACCACTTGAGGTAATCAATTCTGATGACAGTTCGCCATAAGCTCTCACTCTACCAGTTGTGTTCGAGTAGAGAGCCTGTATAAGGTCAATGTACTTCTTTGGTACTCCTTTCAGTGACAAACACTGCCATAGAACCTTACGATCAACAGAGTCAGATGGGATTATGTCCAGTTCCCAAATTCTACCCAAGACCTCAGTTAATCTCACTGCTAATACTGAACCACCATCCTTAAAAATCTCAGGAGTAAATCTGTCAGGGCCAGGATATTCATCATCAAGGGTGAATATATTTTATAGCAGTTCACTGTTTAACTTTGCGATAGCAACCTTTTAAAGGTATAGGACATCGGTCGATTATTGTTTGACAATAGTTATCTTCGTAGCATTGGTGCTAGATGGTGGAACAAACAGAGTAAAATTGAAATTAGGTTTAATTATTTACTTGAACACATAAATATTGGAACAAATGGCACCGAATAAATATGCACCACACAAGTCACTTGATTCGTTTATGGGCTGTGATACTGCCCAGATGCCCAGGTCGAAGCAGGTGGTATTCTTAAGGGGTCACGCTCCGAGCATTTGACACAAAAATCTAATCCACAAGGTAGTGGACCAACGTTAGAAGATGCAGTCCCATGGTAGCCGGTGACCAACGATTTGTTCATACGCCATTTGTTCCCTCGGGACACCGGAGCCCATATGTGCCATTGGTTTGGAGTCAGGGTCTACTAAATCCCCAGGGTGGATCCTCCATATCCACCAACCTGGTTAAAGAGCCGGACAATCGCTTTTCGCCTTCCCAACTTCGTAAATAACACCCCCATCGCGAGAAGGCGTTGGGTAGGACTTCCCTGATCGTGGCTGTATACGCGTGGCCATGTGAGAGCATTTTGAGATGGAGAGCAGACACTCCCCACTCCCAGGCCATACCAGGGCATTTGGGTGCAAGACACTAGGTGATGATAGCAAGGCGGTTGGTGAAGTCACTAATCTACATTTACTCAGATGACAGGGATATATGTTATGTATTCTCTCCCGCCACTTAGCTCGACGCTTAATGCTGTCTGCAACAGGGTAGGATGAAAAAAACGAAGGGTGGACAAGTCAGAATGTGGTGTTAAGCAGTGACTATTGGACTGAGAAGTGTTGGTAGATGCAGGCTTTGCATGGGATCCACGCGACAATTGTGACTACTGATTGGAGATCTTGTGTGGTTTAGCTGAAAACTATTCACAGTAATCCAGATCGATATTTTACCTCCCTATAGGTGTTCGATTTCACAATTGGTTCATATTTTCCGCTACCTGATCATATTCTTTGTTTTTCAAGCAACTTTGACCCACACACGTCCCCAAATACCCTGGTACGGCTGAGAGTAGGGAGAGCCCACTCTCCCTCTCGAAATGCTCTCACATCGCCACGCGTATAAAGCCTCTGTCAGGGAAGTCCTACTCAGTACCTTCTCGTGGCGGGAGTTATTTACGAAATTGAGAGGACGAAATACGAATGCATGGTGCTTTAACTGGGTTAGCGAACACGGAGAGTCCACCTAGGGGAGTTGGAAAACCCTGATTCCAAAATAATGGTAAGCATGGGCTCCAGGATCCTAAGGAAGTAAATGGCGTATGAACCAATCATTGGTCCATGGCTACCCGACCGTAGCTGCTACCTTGACGCGGTGATCGGGCTTGCCTATCGTGATGACCCAACCGAGCTATATTGGCTCGAACATATGTTCCTGTAGGTTCTACCATGCCAGGCAGGTCGATTGGTGAACGGTAAGACTAAAAGCAGCAACTCAAGGTCTGAGGGCGAAGTCGTACTGCTGACTGTACAGAGGTGTGACAGCGGTAAGGTAGTCCCCTCAGACAACCAGCATCTGCAGCGATGCTGCCTTCCCACAAGGAGGGATGGGGTTATAAAAGGTCGACCCTAAAAATGCACACCTCGCCTTACCTCACGGATTTCCGTCTCCGGCGGTAAGGCTCTTTGAAGAACGGAGCTAACACACTAAAAACCTTCCACGAAAAGGCCATGCGCAACCGGCCTCAAGCAGAGGTCCCTTGGGCTCTGCGGTCACGCTCCCAGGTCGTTAAGACCAACAATAATCCGACTTCTTTTTCAGGTTCCTCAAGAAATACCCTTCCACGGTGTGGGCAGCCGGGAAGTGATATCAGCCCTCATACCCGTAACAGCGCACGAAACCAAGTTGGTCACATTCAAATTCTTCCTACACCTCCTGATACCTCTCTTATCTTCATGACTTACCCTCCTCACGTCTCTTTATCACATCGCACCGCTAAGGCAAACGATTCGAGTACGTGGAACGCTATTCCTGGTCTCCTGAAACCACGCTCTAAACTACACGTAGGAGCGTTTAACGTCCGAACACTGTACCAAATAGGACAA